AAAACAGATACACTTGTGGGGAGAAAAAAGAAAATTGATCCAAAACAGCCAACCATCACCACCAACAAAAAAACAAACAACAAAAAGAAGAAAAACCCAGGGTTTATTATTTTAATGATAGACTAAATTATAAGCATCTCTGAGAAAACATTTTTTGGGGAGAAGAATATTAAGTTGTTGTTATTATTATTAGAATTAGTTAAGTATGTTGTGGTTGTTAAAGTTTCTGCTCCCAGGCTGTGGTGAGATGAACATCAGCTGCCACAACACTTCCATGTTCACAGCATGGTGATAGCACCACTGTTCAAGGCAACTGTTCTTACAGTTGAAATTCTTTCAGAGGCTGTTTTACAAATTGATATTACCCATTTTTCTCTGTAGGCATTTTCAATTTTTATGGGTTTTTCCCCACTGTTTATCTAAACAGGTAAAAAGATTTAGAGCCTCTTTTAAATTCTGTATCTTTTTATAGTGGACAGTGAAAAAAATTAGGCAGTATCAATTAAAGATGTGTGGCATATGTCTGAATTGCTTGTCTTCAAATGAATTAAAAATGGTTGAACTTTTACATTACTGTAAACACTCCACTCTTGGTGACAAGACTTCAGGCTTTGGTAGACTGCCTGAGGAAGGTGCAGCACAGCTGGCTAACATGGCAGGCAGCAGGCACCAGACATTAAGGAAAGGGGGGATCTGGCAGCCTGTAACCTCTGAGCGGCAGCAGTGAACAATGTTCCATGCCAGGAGCGGTTCTTCCCACAGGGAGACCCACCCAGCTGCTTTGTCCTGCCCTGAAGAGGGCCCCCAGCACAGCGGAAGGTGCTGTCACAACCTGCCTGTGATTTCCTGAATTTTCCTGAACGTACTGGTTTTGGGGGGTTTTTTGTTGTCTTCTTTGTTGTGTTTTTTTGTTATCTTTGGGGTTTTTTTGTTACCTTCTTTGTTGTGTTCTCATCGTTGTCCCCGTCCCCTCCCCTCCCACCCCCAGCCCCTGCCAAAACTGCTGAAGAAAAAGGTAAACGTGGTGGCCTGAAGAGCGGTAACTGAGTGGCAAAAGACTGGCTTTAAAGTATGGCACTTGCTTATCTAGTTATTAATGATGTCAAATTATTTTGCTTATAAATCGAGCAAATCCACTTCAGGAATTTGAATGACAGTACAGAGTAATTTTTTAGAGTAGAACTAGAACTCTGACAAGTTTTATTTATTAATAATCTCTATCTCAGGACTTGTAGAAAGCTTTAATTTTTCTCAGCATATTTCCATTAAATTAACTAAGTACATAAAAAACTTCTACCTCTGACCTTTCCCTATTTTAGTCCTAGATAAAGGACTGGATTACAGTCAAAAGGCATGTAATTTTTATACTACCAAATAAGTTAATAAAAGTTTTGTAATAGCAGATAAGCATATTTTTGCATGATATAAAACCAGAATGTTCTTAACAGTTGAAGGGGTTTGTTAGCAAGGTGATGACTTTTATTTCTTAGTCTTATTGACAGTAATTATATTTCATCAAAAACCTTGAAGTATTCCTAATTGATATTTTAAAAATTTCACTTAGTTTACTTACCATATTTAAAGACTGAATATTGCTATTTGCCTTTGAAACCTGGGAATAGTACCAGATGTCTATTAATCCATGGTGCACTGTAGCTACCCCTTTAAGTGCTATCTTTCTGAGTGAGAAAAGCAAACAGCTCCTGAAATGCACTGAAAAAGTGATGTTCTTCAAAGACAGGATTTGTGCAGAAGCATATTCTAAGTTAAATTCTTTCCACTATCTCATGTAGGGACAGACTCTACATTTCTACTATCCTCACCCGTATTTTAAAAAAAATGTTCTTCTTTCTTTTAATTTTTTTTCCTCTTTACTTTTCTGGTTTTTTTCATCCCCTTTTCCCCAGTAATTCCCAGGACTAAATTAAGTAGAAGAAACAATACTTGGTTCTCCTAAAATGAAGCCAGGCCATCCAGATAAACTGACTGTTTCTTTGTCTTACAGAGACACCATGTTTGCCAAGTCTGTAGGAAAAATAATGATAGAATATATTTTTCTTCTCCCTCTGGGTCTCATTAATATCTGCAATTAGTTAAAATAGAAGACTCTAGCATAGCCATATTTAGAGAGATTTCTAATTTCTCAGTAGTCTGAGAATTCTCCACCCTGTTTCTCCAAACCTTAGTTATGCCAAATTAGCATCTCATAAAAAAAGACTGTCTACTTTATCTTTAGTAGTATTGCCCATCTTGTTGTGTTTAAGCGTGTTTTCCCTTGATGTGTTATTTCAAAACCTTTTGATTGCCAAAGCCCTATGGAATGCAAGTAACCACGACAATCATGACTTTACTGTGTTGTTTTTGTATGCTATCATGTCTACCACTTGACTGTTTTGTTTGAGTAATTTAGGGATAGTGATGCCACTGAAAGTGGTACAATAAATGTGGTACAATAAATTAACTAAGTCTTCTGTGGGAAACATTGTGTCAAAAAGAAAAAAAAAGGCAAAAATGCTTCATTCTCTTTCAAAACCAGTTTATACAGGTTTGCACAGCCTTCTGTAGGTTCTTGAAAGTCTGCTGGCTGGAGGTCCCCTTTGTATGGTAGGAAAAGGAGAGAATTTGCGGAAGGATCTTGCTGGTTCCCATCTACACAGGAGGTGTAACAAGTGGTGGCACTGACAGAGCCCTGAGCAATCCAGGCACTGTCTGGCTCCTATAATGGTACCTCAAATTTAGGCAGAATCTTTCCTATTTAAATGCACAACTAATGCTTGTCACCCCTAAAATATGAATAGTTGAGCCAAAGGCAGAAGAAAACTGCATAAAATAATAGTGCCTACCAAGCACTAACTTCTAATTTTCTGGAAAGTGCTCCAATTCACCTCCTCACTGCATCAGACCAGAGTTTTCCAGTTACTGCAAAACAAAAATGCAGAAATTTTCTGTTGTCTTATGCTTAGTGTTTCACTGCCAGAGGCGTGTCCTCTGGGCTGCACACTTCTAATATATACCTTGTGCCAACTCTAGTGCTAGTCAGAGCTCTTGGCGCTGAGCCTGGTTGTGAGCCAAGTGAGAATCCATCCCCTCTCCCCCAAAGAGTCACATTTGTGTGCTGAGTCAGTGCACAGAGTAGTCGGGGTAGTACCAAAGCTGCCATCTGCGAGATGGTGGGGCTAGATGACAGATGAGGGGGCAAAGTGCATTGAGAAAAAAGACAGTGGAGCAGCTGCTAGGTGAGCTGAGCTGCCCAAAGTGTGATGGCCTTGGTGCTCAGGGCACTCAAATGGCACCTGGTGGTACTGGTCACAATGTCTCGTGCTTCTGGAGGGACAGAAATCACTCTCTGTGTCTGGCTGTGGTTTTGGCCCATAGCCATTAGGCTGTGAGGCACTCTAAGTTTTTCTTTCATGTGTTGTTTTACCTTCATGTGTGGAGACTCTGGGTTCCTTCCAAACTAAAGATTGCTTGGGCCAGAGGAGGCTGGGTGTTTGGGAAGGCTTTGCTGCTTGGCCAGGGTACTTTCATAGCTCTTTATTGCAGCAGGGCCTGTCGTACACTCCTGTCCACACAGCTAAGTGCTGGAAGCATCAAGCTCTGTGGTGTTCTTTTACTGTCACCTTGTGGGCCATTATTTACCTAGTGCAAAGTGGAACAGATTCAACTGGAGGGCTGCAACAGACCCTCTTCAAGCTGCATTTGAGCAGTTAGAGCAGTAGTGATTTGTGCATTGAAATCTTATTGAACAGATAAAGCATTTGCCAAGGACATTAAATTCTGACTCTTGATTAAGAGACAAGACTCCTTTTTCTTCTGCTTGAGTTTGCTGTGGAAAATCTATTTCATTACATATCTTCAAAAATATCTAGTTGAATAGGTCCTGCAGGTGAGGCAAATGGGATGGAAAACAAGACTAGTGATCTTTGTCAAGTCTGAGGCTGTGACAAAGTCCAGTCTCAGCAGAGTTAGTCCTCAGGCTCTGGATGTCTGCAGGTGGCAAGAAAAAGGCTACTGAGCCTGCCATGTAAGGCTGAGCATCTGCATCCTATCTGCATGGTCATGCAAGTATGAATTCCTTCAGCAAAGAAACCGATTTACAGTATCCTGTATTTTGGAAAATGCAGTAATCACCAGGTTTAAAATACTTTTAATGGGTCTAAATCAATTTGCATGTTTAATATAAAGCGTTTTTGTGTTTTTGCATGCTTGTAACTTGTCACCTCACTGAACTGAAGTAAGAGGTTTCCTGTGGTTCCTGGAAGCTTCTTGTCCCGTTGTTGCTGTGCAGAAGGGCTATGCAAATTCCCTAGAGCCAAAGCAATGCAGCTATTCTTCTCACTGAGTGCCAGGATTATGCATTGTGTGCAGTCCAGAACAGCAAACATCTATCACATTGAACTCCCAGGGCTCAGCTGTGCCTTAAAGATGTGGTTTAGCTTTTAACAGAGCTGATCAGCACACAGTGTTCTGACTGTCATTCCTAAAGAACAAAATGACAGATGGGCTTATGATACATTCGTCTGGAGGTAGAGAATGAGAAGAGCAAGTTGGTTACTAATTACCTTCCCACCACTGAAAGGAGAAATGTCCCCATGCTTGACACAACTCGCATGGATGTGTCAAAATTAATGAACATTTTCACCCTCAGCTGTCCCAGAGTGAGCTTCACACCATTGTGTCCCGTGTGGCCCTGAGATCTTAATGCAGCCATTTGCATTCATCAGGGCAGCACAGACACAATGTGAGAGTTCAAGAGTTTTGAAATGCATCTCTGTCATCAAGATGCTTTGCAGGAGTGCTGCTGACTAACAGCCATGGGTCATATCAGTGCACTGTTACTGTTGATCCATTTCATTACACGTTTTTTCTTTCAGATCTGTTATTCAGATTACTGTTTTTAAATTGGGATGACTGCTCTTATGTAAAAAATTATTCCTGATAGTCTCAGAAGTAATACATAAACTGCAATTCCATCTAATTATTGTTGATTTTATTTTTTATTTAAATTTTGAGATGAGATTAGATACATGAGAAATCCCGTCCAGCTGTGCAAGAAGACACAGTAATCTTAGGATATAAGGTACTCCTGGGGATGAGCTAAGGTGTCAGGATTGTGTCCCTATGGCTGTATGTACCAGACAAATTTTCTTGATTTTAAATAATGTTTAAAATTTGTTACAGTGAAGTGCCGATAAAATCCTTTGTATGAATAGTCTTTGAGAGTTGCTACCCATGTATTTCCTTTGATTATTTTAAAATTACAGCTTCAATACTTATGTTCCTTGACAGGTCTATTATTCTAACAATCCAATAAATAGATACATTAAATATTGCAAAATAAATTATTACTTAATCCTATACCTAAAAAGGATTGAGTTTGGAAATGTTTGCAGATTTGATCAATGAGATTTATCAGCTCAGACTCCAGAATTCTTCACTAGTTCCTGTCATACTGAAAGATGATTATAGAGGTGGGGTGGTGGGAAATGCTAAAAACAGTGCATTGCTTGACTAGGCATGAAAACAGGAGGGCTCATTTGCAGGGCTGCATTTGAAAAATAAAATTAGAACAATGAAGCATAGTTATCTGTCAATGGAAACAGAGGCTAACATTTTAGGGATTATAGCTGCTGCTAATATTTAGGTAAGTGCTCTAGGCCATTTTCCTCTAATTGAAAGCTGATGTAAAACCAATTTAAGTGACACAGTCAGTATATCAGGTATTCTATTAGTTGAATTTTTGACACTGCCATGGCAGAAGTAAGGTGGCTGACCCTTAATGACAACAATTTGTTTTGTGTTTGTACAATTATGGTGGGTCTTTATTGTCAATCTAATCAGTAGCAGGGGGCTATATTTTAATGTGAGACTTATTCAGAATGTTTAATTTGAAGGAATTAATTTCAGAGAGTTGATGAGCATTCAAGTGCTGCTCACAGGCTATCAGAGTTAAAAAATTCTGTTGTTTTAATCTGAGCCTTTTAAATTTTGAAAACAACCCCCTTCAAAACAGATTTCACCATCTACTTTTGTTACTTTTGGCCCTTTTGGTTTATCTTTTGGCTGCTTTGTTTTTCCCTTTTCTCCTCCTGCTTCTTGGTTGCCTCCCCATATCCAAAGAAGCACAAACTATCATTGCTGTGACAAAGGGTGGGGTGCACCTTCTCCGCAGCACTCAGATATTTTCCTCATGGCTCTCCGTGTGAAGTCGACCTTCCCTCTTTCTTTCTTGAGAGCTGTGTACTCATAGGCCTTCAGCTTGCTGTAATAGTCTGAGAACTTATTGTAGAGGATGGAGATGGGCATGCCATTCAGGATTATTCCAAAAGCAATGCAGAGGAAAGCAAACAGGCGTCCAAGGTGCGTTTCTGGACACATATCTCCATATCCCACTGTAGAGATGCTGACCTACAGGCAAACCAACACACAGCTTATTAGCTGAGCTAAGTACATAGACAGACATGTTTGCTGATCAGGGACAAGGTTAACTCTTTTTTAATTTGCATTTTAACTCTAAAATATTCTGTGCTGCTTTTGTGTGTGTGTGCGTGTGTGTGTGTGCCTGTGTGTGTGTGTGTCTACTAGTTTTCTTATGCAAAATATTCCTAATTTTAAAAAAAACCCCTCTCATGGAATAAAGAAAGACAATGGTTTGACACCATTCAGGAGGATTTTTAGATTTTGACCCTGTGGAGGGAATTCCCAGACAAATTCCATACCAGGCTGTCCAGAAGGTGAGTTTGTTTGGCTGTAGGGAGAGGATAGATGTGGCTCCCTAGCCATGCAAATCCACTGATAGCTGCAACCCTGCTCCCTCATCATGTCACTTGGAACAGATGTCCTGTTTCTAAATCCACTGTGCTGATAAAACCCCGTATTTGGGACTTATCCTCTGGTTTGTATTTGAGTTTTACCTTTGTTTTTCATATGCATTTTAGGAACTAGTGAAAACACACAAAACCCTTCAATTAATTTTGAAATAAATTTTCCTATTTGCCTTATAGAAAGAAATTATACAGGACTTCAAAGTTACTACATGAAATCCCCCTTAATGATTACATACCTACAAGGAACTGTAGCCTGGAAAGTTTTGCTTGTAGTGTATGGTTGCAATATGTAAAGTTATAGTGTTAAATAAATACACAGGTGTGTAATTTTTGCTGAAAGTCCTTTTGAAGAAGGATTTAAGGGTTGTTGAAAATGTTTCAGCTTTGGTTGTTGAATTTTTTGCGTTTTTTTTTGAGAGTGATGGTGTTTAGTGTATTTATTTTATATGATTCTGAACAATTTGACAGCTCACTGTGTACATACCCTTACATTTTTCTTCTCAGCCAATATAATTTTCTCTTTCTAGCCTATGGATATATGAGAGAACTGTTTTATGGGTCCAGTGCTACACCAAGTACTGAAATATTTCCATTTTAAAATTCAGATTAAAATTAATGGATGTTTGATTATGGAGATGCTGCTACATTTGAAAAACCTACTCTCAAACAGTCAACATAAGATAACTCCTAATTTATTTAGTTTCACTGCACACATTTTGATGTTTTATATTTTTTACACTGAGTAAATATAACTTACTTCTTTCCTGGCAGGTAAAACTTTCATGTTGCTGTCACCTCTCACTTTCTGGTCTGTGCAAGGGACTTTTTTTCAGCCAGTGAATTTTATTTGATTTTTTTCACAGTGTCTCAACACACTGTATATATCTGCTAAGCAGTAACCTAAAATTCTGACAAAAAAAAGCCACAGACAGTAGGACTTTGACTGTAATGCCCTTGTGGCTTAACACTAAAATAAGTTTTCAGAAAGTCACTGTGTAGAGTTTGTCATCTTCTAAAATGGTAAATAGAATGATATTTCAAATTAAGAAAACATTAGAGTTCATGAGACAGCACTGGGTGAGCACATTTTTAGGATGCACCTGGTGCTTCCTGTGGAATAAAAGGGATTAGTGATTTGGTTTAATGGAAATTAAGTCACTGGATTTGAATGATAATACAGGATAAATATCTCCAAAAATAAATACTGAGATGAAGGCAAGATGTTTATGTCTACCAGCCAGGACAAAAACATTATCCTGTGATAAGATTCTGTACCATTGGCATAGTTTTATACATTGCCTGTAACAGTTTAGGAGGGATGCTTCTTCTCCTGCATGTGTGAGTTGGTGAATACTGTTGGAATTTTATAAAATCCAAATGATCTAGATATATTAATTTACAGTCCTGAAATTCAAATGATCTAGATATATTAATTTACAGGCTGTCAAAAGTGTTTTATGCTTTGGAATTGCAATGTGCATGACACAGCTCCTGTTTTGAAGGCACTTGCTCAGTTAAATAGGCCTTTTTCACCTAGCCATATAAGTTTATTAGGAATATCTAAATTATTATGGTGTCACCACTTTGCAAAAATGAGCCCTAAAGATTTTGCATATGACCTGCATGTTCAGAAGACAGAGTATTTTAGCACTGTATGAATCACCAGTGTTTTCATAGCCTTTGTATATCACTTACAGATGATCTATGAAGGTCAGATTACAAGACCTTCTTTCCTTTATTCACTGATTTTTCCATCCTTACATGGCCCATGGAAGGATGGAAAAATCAGTGAATAAAGGATATTCAGCACAGTTACACATACACATGTGCACACATATAAATGTGTGCATCTATGCTTGTCTGTAAGGCTTTTTTTCTGCCATGTGCTGAATCACTGCAAATGTGTGGTAAACCACCACATCTCATCGTCCATGGCTGAGCCAGCAGTGCAGACCTTGGGCTCCAGGATGGCTGGCCAGGGTAAGTGACCTTGAATGGGTTGGGATTACTGTCTGGTGGGCCTCATATGCATCTTGGGGCATCCAGTGTCAGTGCTGATCAACCAGCCTGAGATATTATAACTCCTATCCAGTCTATTTGCATGAGCTTTTTTCTCCAGGGAAGTGACTGGGACAGAGCCAGACCCATAGCCATGCCCAGGGTTCAGAAGTGCTCCTGGGGCCCCACACAGAAATAGACTGTGCAGGTTGGCATCAGCTGCTGCAAAACAAAATGTATGTAACAGTGGTCTAGGACAAGCCTTAGGGTTATGGATGGCCAAGGTGTGGGTCCTGTGCCTTCCCTCAGCATTGACAATGTCTAGCTACCCACTAGTTTCAGCTACGGTGCTATAAATACAGACATGTTCTGCAGCACAGCAGAGCACAATCTCTTGTGTAAAACAACTGTTGGTCCTAGTGAATTTTTAACAGCCAGAGTTCTGGGACAGCTTTCACTTTTAAAGTGTGGGTGATCTGACTGTAGTTAATAAACTATGTCTCATCATCTTGCAGTTTTATGGGTTGCAGAAGACCTACACATAGAATAAGAACAAAAATCCTGTTTCTAGTGTGCCAAATGCATGCATTTTTCCCCCTATTGTTTTGACAACACTGACAATGGCACTAAATTGGGAAATGCTTTTTTTCCCCTGTCTTTGATCGCTTCTTCTTTAAAAGTGAAAATACTGTCTGCATTTGGAGATATGGGAATTTCAAGACCACCTGCCTGATTGTCTTGATTTAAGCTTACAGAGAGGTGAATGAGTGCATGTGTGTGTGTGTCTGTGTGCACGCAGGCATGCATATGTCCTGTAAGCTCAGAATTCAGAGCAGATGTTCACTGATCTAAGCCTGTTGTTTTCAAGACTGTCAGCAACTCCAGCTGGAAGGAGAGGGGAAGGGGAAGGGAAGGAAGGGAGGGTCTCTTTACTCAGCAAGGTAAGATGTGTTTACTTACGGCAGCCCACCACCAGGCATGGGGAATGCTGGTGAAGTTGGTACTGGAGACATCGTGCTCCACTGTGTAGACCATGGCAGAGAAGGCAAAGATGCCCATAGCAATGAAGAGCAAAAGGCAGCCCACCTGCTGGTAGCACTGGCGCAAGGTAAAGCCGAAGGCACGCAGCCCTGTGGAGTGGCGGGCCAGCTTGAGGATGCGGAAGATGCGCATGAGGCGCATGATGCGAAGCACTTGTCCTACCTTGCTCACTCGCCCCACCTTCTCGATATCGTGCTCGTGTTGGGAGCCCCGACCCCGGGGCTGGTCATCGTCAGTAAAGCATTCAAGCAGCAGCTGCAGATAGAGGGGCAGGATGGCAATGAGGTCTACTGCATTGAGGGCACTGCTGGCAAAGCGGCGCAGGTCTGGGGTAGAGACCAAGCGCAGCAGGTACTCCAATGTGAAGAATGCAATGCACAAGGTCTCCACATGCTCCAAGACAGGCCGGCTATCCCCACTCTTCCAGTCTACCTGCTGCATCTCCTCTACTGTGTTGAGTGCCAGGGCCACCACGGAGATGAGCACAAAGAAGCTGGAGGCCACTGCCATCACTTTGGCGGTGACAGAGGAAAAGGGCTTCTCCATGAGGTTCCAGAGGCGCCAGCGCTGGGGCCCGTAGTAGCGCATGTGGCGGAAGAGCTGCTCATTCTCCTCAGCCTCTGCCTGGGAGCGCAGCTCCCGCTGCACCTTCAGCTGCTCGCTCAGCTCGTCGCGGCGCTCCTCGAAGCAGATGCGGCAGCAGCGGGGCGTGTATTTGAGGCGCACGCCCCAGTAGCTCAGCTCCTCCAGGAAGCTGCGGGGGCACAGCTCGTCCCTCACCCGCAGCACCCCCGAGGCATAGAAATTGTACACCAGCTGGAAGACAGCTGGGTCCCGGTCAAAGAAGTACTCGTCCACCTGGGCAGCGTAGTCGTCGCACAGGCCCAGCTGGCAGTGGCGGTCAGTGGAGGTAGCCAGGCGGCCCAGGCGCGTCTTGGGGTAGATGGCCACTGCCTGGTAGGTGAGGCGGTAACTCTGGCCACCAACATTGATGTTCAGCACGGATGGAGTAGATGATGTGGCTGGGGATCTAGAGGAAAGAGCAGGGGAACAAGGAATAAACGATGAGGCCTTGCTTTCGCCCTTAAATGCATCTTCATGTTGCCAGTTTCCTTCTTCTTTCTCTTCATCTTCCTCATCTTCATCATCCACATAATAGTTGTAATTCCCCTCAGGTCCTAGTTGCAGCAGGGGCTGGGTGTTCAAGGCAGTGGTGGCAGAGGTACCACTCTGCTTGTCTACATGAAAGACTTCCTTTTCCTTCCCCTTGCTGGGCCGCAGAAGGATGTTCGGTGCTTCCATCTCTCTGCCTTTATGTTTTTGGAAAAGAAACTCTTGCTGACTGTTAAACTGCAACATAATATTATTCCTTACTCTTCTCCCCTCTTTGCATTCACGCAATCAAGCGGTTAACACCAGTCCTTTTCAACTCTGCAAAAGCTGGCAACGTGGTTTTCTTTCCTCTTTATCTCAGAAGTATTATGCACAGCAGTAGCTCTGCATATGTCTCCCTGCTGGCCACCACTCCAGTTGTTGTGAAAGCTCTGTGTGGGATATAGACACATGAAGACTGCTGTTGACCGTTTTAATCTTGCTGACAGCAAAGATCTGAGTGCTTAGAGGAGGGGATTTAAGGGCTATTATCCTGTTCGAGCCTCGTTTCCCTTAGGCTGTGACGTGAATGATTATGGATCTATAAATCTATGAAAAATCAGTAGGGGGGGAAATCCCCTAAAATTTTATTGCTAATAAAATCCACACATTTTCCTATTTAAAATATATATGGATTAAAAGTAATCTGAAATAAAAATGTATGAGGGCCAGAGAGAAAGAGAGCAATACAGATTTCTTTCATCCTCATGGGCATAGCATGGCTTGGCTTTCTTTAATGAAAATAATGAATAATTGATATGCAGATAAAGGGCAGGAACTCACTGGTGTATCTCTTAAAATGTTTTCAAAAGGTGAGGAAATAAAAGTAGTTTCATTTTATTCACAGTTAGAATACCTCCATTTGGTTAAGAGCTGAGGAATATTTCAGTCTGTGCCTGAAGCTTTGAATGTACTCTGGGAGTGCAGGTCTAATGTTCTGCTGGGCTCAGTGGAAGCAAAGGGCAGAGGTGTGAAGGAGTTTCCAGCTTCAAACTCTTAATGAGCTGCTGAGAAACAGCATAAAGCCAGTCTTGTTTCTCTTGCAGATGGTGTTAGTGTCCTATAAAGCTGCAGTGAGTAACTGGCAGGACAGGAGAGAGGCTTTCCCTGTGTTTGGATGGAGGTTTCATCTTCAGCTCTGTTGGAGCTGGCATCAGCAATTCCTGTAACAATGACCATCCCCAAAAACAGGTTACTTCCCCTTGTCACTGGGAGCACTTCAGCTAAGCTGGAGCTCCTGAAAAGCAGGGGATGCACACAACAAAGTGCTGGTTCCTTGTGCGTGCTCTTAGCACCTCACTTATAGCTCCTAAGCTGCAGCTCATTATTCTGCCTGTATCCAGGCTGGTGCAGGAAGGGACAAGACACCGGAAAACTACCAATTTTGGCAACATCCTTGCAGGTCTGTAAGGCCTCCCATGTGCAATTCTGTATTCTGCCTTCTGCTTGCAGCTCCCTTTCACATAGACTGCTGGGACAGTGTATCCCAGAGCACTGCAGCAGTGCTTTCCCTTTGCTGTACTCAAGCTCCCACTCTTCTGGACTGATCTCAGGTTCTTGCTCCTGCAGACCCCAGTACTGTTGTTTTGGTAGTCCTATGTGAAGCAACTGGTGCTGCTATGACAATGTCTCCTTCTTTTTTCCTGTTTCCTTACCTCCAGTTATAGCTTTTCTATTTATATTTAATAGTTCTTGACAAAATGGAAGATGCCACAGCTGAGCATTTTGCAATACTTTTGTTCTCAGTCTTTGTTCTGCTGAGTTGATCACATGAAACTCTTCAAGGTTTCTTTGAGTCACACTGTTTAAGGCCTGAATTATTTGTAATTCATATTTAACTCTGCTTGAGAGTGAATTTGTCTCCCTTGCCTGTTCTCTTTCTTGATGCAAGAGAGGCAAGCCCCCTATTAATGGGGATTGTCAGCAACTCTTTAGTTGGAAATTTGTCCCAGTTTTCAAAAAGGATAAAAAGAAAACTCTGGAAGTTATGGGTCTAGCATTTTCACTGCAGTGCGTGGTAAAATCATAGGGAAGGTTTTTCTGGGAGTTACTGAAAAATACTGTTTGAGAGAAAATGCAGTCATTACAGTGAGCATGGGTTCACAAGGGAAAAGTCCTGTTTGACCAATTTAATTTTCTTTTATGTCAAAGTAACCTTAGGTGATCAAGGGAAGCCAGTAGATGTGGACTGGTTTTATTTTACAGAGATTTTTGTTCTGTCTCCCACAGTACCCTGCTGGATAAACTGCCTGGCACACAGCTACTGGAGTCCACAACACATTGTGTGAGTAACTGGCTGGTGGGTCAGACTCAAAGGGTTTTGGTAAATGTTACGTCAGGCTGGCAGCCAGGGACCAGAGGTTCCTTAGGGCTCCATTTTAGCACCAGTGCTCTATAATGTTTTTCTAAAAAGATGTGGATGCAGGGATCAAATGCACATTGAATAGGCGTGGTGATGTTACTACACTAGGAAAAGTTTTGGACTCCCTTGAGGACAGAGAGGCTCTGCAGAGAGAAGTGGGTAGATTGGAGATTTGGGCAACTACCAACCATTAGGAACTAGACAAGATCAGTCGCAGGATTCTTCACTTGGGATGGGGTAATCCTGGATGTACAGGGGTTTGTGTTGGTGGACCCAAGCTGAGCATGGGTCAGCAGTACCCTGGCAGCCAGGAGGGCCACCCGTGTCCTGGGGACATCAGGGACAGCATGGCCAGCCAGGCAAGGGAGGGGACTGTCCTGCTCTGCTCTGTGCTGGGGCAGCCTCACCTCCGGTGCTGGGGGCAGCTCTGGGTGCCACAATAAAAGAACATGGAGCTATTAGAGTGTCCAGAAGAGTGTGACCAAGACGGGGAAAATTCTCAATGGCATGACAGGCCACTTGATTTCCACAGCTTGGAGAAGAAAAGGCTGAGGTGACCTCAGGACAACCTACAACTTCCTCAAGGTGGGCAGTGAAGTGAGAGGTGCTAATCTCCTCTCTCTGGTGATCAATACAGGATAAGGGGAAATGGAATGAAGCTGCACCAGGAGAAGTTCAGACTGGACATTAGGAAAAGGTTCTTCATGGAGATGGTGGTCAGTGATTGAATCACGTTCCCCAGGAAAGAGGTCACAGCACCAAGATTGTCAGAATTCAGGGGCTGTCTGGAGAACACTCTTAGTCATATGGTTCAATTTCAGGTAGTCCTGCGAGGAGTGGGGATTTGGATTCAGTGATTCTTATGAGTTCTTCCCAAACTGAGATATTGTATGATTCTCTGATTCTATGGATAGAAGAAGAAATGTGAAAACTTAGCAGTCAGTAACATTGGAGAATGCTATCCATTGCTATCAACCTGACAGTGCTCTGGGTACCAGCTTCCTGAAAACAGGATTTTAACAACAGAAAACTATACTTAAAATGGAGTGAGCAGATGGGTCTTTGCAAACCTTCATTTTTAGGAGTGCTGACTTTTCCAGGATAGGGCACTGTTGTAGTAATACAACTGTAGATATAATGCTCTTTCACTGAGCAAATCAGCTTCAGAATTGAGTGTGTGTGCTTTTTCTTGGTTTAAAAATAAGAGAAATTTTAAATTAAACTTGCTTTAAAGAATTTATATGATCCTATAAGGCTCAGTTGATTAGTTCCTACCTCATGAGGAATTTTTTGTAGATTAGTAGTTTTTTAAGGTCAGAACAGGCCTATAAGATCATTTGTTCTGACCTACTTGAACAATGACCCCAGAATTTTGTCATTTTGCATGTTTCAAAGGGTCCAGCCAGGCTCTTTCCTTAAGATCCAGTGACTTCTGAAGCTAAGTTGACCATGTGGGAAATACTGCTAATGGTGATTATTAGCAATGTAATAATTAATAATGTCCTGTTTATCCTTTTAGGGCCCTCAAGAAGCTGTGTAATAGGACTGAAGGTAGACTGACTGACTGCAGTGTCTGCTAAAACTGTAAGGGGTGACTCAGCAAGTAAGAGAGTTAAGATTATTTTCTGTCTGCCCACATACCAGTACTTTGTAAGAGGGACTGTCAAAAAAAAAAAAAAAAAAAAAGAAAAAAGAAAATGGATTTTTTTTTCAGTCCTGAGCTAGAGCTTTTCCAAAATACCAGATCTATGCAGAGCTGAACTAACATTCACTCTATGCTTTGTCTCCACTCAGTTCAGTTATTTAGATTCAAATGCAAGGAGGTAAGCAAGAGGACCTGTTTTGCTCTGTAATGTCAGGTGTCTTTGCACCCTACCACCCCGGCAGACTTTCTCAGCCATCAGAATGCCATGCTGTTGCTGAACAAGTGCCTGCCTGTTCACTTCTTTCTCTATTTCTGCTTGTTTGGTTTTCTTTTTCCCCCACTTGCCAACGCTGCAGCTGCGGCCAGCCAGACAATGCTAGGAAAGGATGAGTAAGTGGGAAGAGAGGCTTTTTGAGGGGTGGGATGATCAGCGTCATCTAGTCCATCTCTTCCTGCTTCCAGGGAAGAGCTCACGTGCCTTTGCTTCACTCATCAGTGTTGCCTTCTTCTGGGAGGGAAAAGCACAGAGAATGCCAGCTACAGACCCTGAGAAGAGGCAGAGGGGCAGGCTGGGGTTGTGGTCTTGTCACCTGAGCGCTGAGGCTGTGCCATCCAGGGCAGCAGCAGTGGTGTGTATCCCAGGGGTGTACCAGCTGACTGCAGCAGCACACCTGAGCACAGGCACCCGGGATAAATGCCGTGTGCTCCCACTGCTGCTGTGCATCAACCTGTCCTTGTCAGTACCTATTTCCGCCTTGGCCACTCCACATTATCACTTTTCTTTCCTGGTGAACTTCTGCTTAGTTTTGTAAATTGCAATTTTTTTAAACAGGTAAACCTACAGTGTTTAGGTGCTACAGCAAGTCAATGCAATACAGCAGCAAATACACATGCTGCTGTATTGCATTGTGACACACACAAAAGTAACACTATCATATTCCCTATCTCAGTGAATTCATAATCCTTTTTTACAGATGCTGAAGAACGAAATGATTTAACCTGGAAACAAGCAGGAGAAGAATAAACCAGTATGTTCGCTATTTCATATTGCTGGGCTTTCCACTAGGCCTTGCTTACTGTGTGTGGTGTCTCATTCATAAACATTAGCAGCTCTTCAAACACAGGCAACTGATGCCAGCCCTGCAGTGAGCACAAACAAACAGAAAAAACACACAACAGCAGCAGTGTGAAATACAAAGTTGTGTTTCATGTCAGGTACAAACAGGCGATGTGTGTAGTTGTGAATGTGAAATGTGTGGACCCCAACAATGGGAGAGCTGTGAATTGTAATAATAACTGAAGAGAATAAAGCATGGAAAAAGCCTTTGAACCTATCTGTTGTTTGCAAATTAACCCTAGTTGATTTAGGAGCATTGGAATTAAAGTGTTAAAGAAGTTGCTTTTTGCCTGCATTTAATCCATAAAGAGTTCTGCAATAATAACCTTTTGAAGTATAATTTTAGAATATTCCTTGTGTCCTTGAAACTATAGTTTTGGAATATATATAAAGGAAATATGCTTATCTCATGCATTATTGAAGCAGAGAAAAACAGCTTGAGAAAGGAAGATGAACATCACCTCAAGGGTTTATGTTTTCTACCGAAGGGAAGCTGGACATCACTGTTTAGATTTATAGTCTCTGCAATTAAAAGGTGGACCCACACTTGGGGAGCTGGACCCCACCAGATGGGATTCGTCTTTCTTCTTTCGGAAACTGGATCGTCACCATCTGGGGATACTCCTTTGAGATATATCCTGAGAAACTAAGATCACAATAGTGTATAGAATCATGATGTAATAATTTGGAATAAAAAAAATTGCTGATGAGTAAAAAAATTGCAAATAGAAACTGCTGAAAAAGCTGATGAGTACCCCTATAAATACTTGTAACCCTCAATTATCAGTGTGCAGTTGGAGGGAAAACTTCCCCCACTGTACCCAGTGCTGTATTGCTCATACTTTACCATATTAAATAATAAATTGATTGCTGCTTGAATATTGGCCTAGTCAAGCTTCTTATTCATAACAGCAGCAAGAAAAAAAATTTACTGAATGAGTGGGAATGAGTATGAACTATATGTAAAGAAACAGTAAATATGCTGGAAGCAGAGACTGAGTCATGGCAGTAACACATTGCTAAAGCTATGGGAGGAGTGACTTGTGCAATCAACGGCTTTACATTTTCTGAGCATTACAGATTTCTGGGAATAGACAGTTCTCTTGCTGAGAGAGTCGCCAGTTTTGCTTTGAAATCTTTTTCATATCACTGAAAGGGAGGAAGTATTGATGTGTTTATGCAGTGTGTCCACTTCCTCTCTCCGCCTGGAATTTATATTTTGGGTTTTTTTATTTGTTTTACTGTTTCCTTATGTATGATAGAGGCACTTTTGACAGGCAGCATGCAGTAATACAGCGCTTTTTTTTTTTTTAATGTGAGAGGCCCCTGCAAAACAACCATGCTGCTATATAAAGAAAAAAACAGTAAAAAAAATCAACAGCAATAAAGTCACAAAATGGAAGCCACAGATGAAGGTGTGGAACAGCACCAAACAGCCCTTCCTGGCACAGTAAGCAGCATGACATGCATTCTCTTTTCAGATTTCTGGATCACTGGTGGGCTAGACATCAATCTGTCCTATGAATTACAAAGAGCCTACTGAGCTTGTAAAGTGTGTCATTCTGGTACTGTTCCAGTCACCCTTCCATTTTTTTACCCTGTTCAAATTCCACCCCTAGCAAGAACCTGCCACCAGGAACACAAGTCTCAATGTGACATAGTTTATGGTGATCCAAAAATCAAGAGCTCAAACAGCACCAAACAAAAAACTCCAGCCAGTCAGCCAACCAACCAACCAACCAAATTCCCTCTGCCCCATGCCACCTTTCCCAGAAAAAAGAAAAAAAGAAAAAGAAAAAAAGAGGTGCAAAATAAGGAGATACATTAACCTTGGACTCCTCTTGGTGGCATACTGGTGAGTTGGGTTGGACTCAGTTACAGAACAATATGATAGATACATGTGTCATGGCCTCTGGATAGAATTTTGTTTTGATTTATGCATTCTGTCACACACTGCTCTGAAAACTGCTTGTTCTTTTCTTAGGCTTTACTAAAAACCAGCTAGCAACAGGGAAAAAACCCAATTCATTTGTGCATGCTCCTTGTAACAGGATCACACAGAATTAGAAAGGACTTAATGCAAGGCACATATCCAGGAATAGCCTTTTCCAGGTTCTGTCCTTTAACAAACATGTCCATTGCAATAACTTCTTCCATTATTCCTTCTTGTTTCCTTGGGTGTAACTGGCCCTCCTGAGCCTTTCTTATACGAGCACTAGCAGTGATTGTAAATTAGCACAGCTTACCTGTCTCCTTAACATTTACTTGCTTTTTTTGCAGCTGAATTATCCTTATGTGCTACACCTGAAATCTGAAAGAATAGCTTGGCATCTGCCAGATCTTCCACCAGAGACATATCTAGCTTCACCCCAGCATTACTTTTAAGTAGGGGAAAAGGGGGCCACACTCCCTGAAGTGAATTTTCTGACCCTAGACTTTTAAGTCCATAATCCATAGTGATTTTTTAAGGCTGTGCTGTTGCGAAATTTAGTTTGCTTCATGTATATGCATGCCACACCTCTCCCTCTCTCTCTGAGTTTAGACTGCAGCTGCATGGCCTCTGCTTTTCTGACATTTACCTCTTGCTTCCTTGTCCTCCCCTGTTGTATCTGCTCTGTACTGCCTTGGTCCCACCTCTCTGCCTGTTCTACAGCAGCATCTCTCCCTACAGAATCAGTGACACCAGCTTTCCTCCAAGTCAGGTGTTTATATTCCTCTTGAAGACAGCATGCTTGAGGGCTCATCTCTCAGCTTCTTTATGAGCATGTAGTGTGCTCTATCATGATGAAGTTCAAAGAATACAAAGGAGTCTTTTACCAATGCTGCAAAATTATTAGAATTTCCTTACACACAAGAAAGATTGGCTAAAAATAAACCAGCTGCTCCTTGAACTTTTCAGAGGAAATTAGATAACTTTGTGCAGTGGAAGAAAATATTTCAGTCATTACTGAGATTAATTCAGTACTAATTGTGATTTTAAGTTCTGGGGGATATTTTCCAAACATTAACAGATTTATAATAAAGCTGCACACAAAAGAACAAATTGGTTCAGGGGCAAAAAATCTTTTGCAAGCCTGGATTTTAGCCAGTTTTTGTGTATGGATGTTTGCATACACACATATTTTATGCATATGTATGCAAATCTGTCAGCAAGATTGCTATCCTTATCCTAACCATGTGCCATTTGCCAACCACTTCAATGCAGTGAGCATTTTGGGCATTCATGAACATATAGTTTAGTGATTTGAAAAGGTTATCTTTTCTTTTCTTGCTGTGGCCGCACACTGCACTGCCCTGGCTTAATATACAGGCTAAACTTTTCTAGAGAAGATTTCAGTTCTCAACTCTGTACTTCTCTTGCCCAATGCAATGCAATACCCCAAACTTTTTTTCTTTGTTGTTCTCAGAAATTGCCATTATTTGGAGAGTGAACAAGATCAAGAAAAGATCTTTAGCTGATATTGTCTCTGAAGATATAATGAATATGCCCTTGAAAGTATTGAAAGTATTCCTTTGATATTGACTTCTGGTAAAAAACAAGTAATTCCTTACCCTACCCTCAAAGTCTGGCAAGAGGAAAAAAACAAGTAGAGCTGCAAAACTGCAGAAGGCTTTCAAATGTGACAGAATAACAAGCGCCTGTTTAAGCTAATCACTACCTTTGTCAATTACTGATTTAAAAATGGTCCTGAAAATTTGTTCTTTTACAAAATACACTGTGTTCTGCTGTTTTAAAAAAGATCATAAATCCCTGTTTTGTAATTATGAATGTTAATTTTGTAATGACAGGTTAATTGCAAGATGTTTTCTGCCAAACTGGAGTTGCAGACCTTTGTACAAAAGATGGTCTCTTGAAATTTGCTTGGAAGAGAGTATTTAGAAAATATTCTGCAAAAACATGATGTCATTGCTATTGCGAATAACTATTGCACAAATAAAGGATCTAGACATCTTAAAAAACAGTATCAGCAGACTTGCATTTTATCTCTCTAAGTAGCCTCAGGAAGGTAAAAGATGTATTGAAAGGTGACTCACAGTAACTTTAATTTGATCATGAGCGACCTCAGGTAATCAGAAGAAAAAGTCAGGCATAGGTGAGCTTTTCCCTCATGCAAGTGCAAGTGAGTGGCATAAGTGGTGAGACACAGTTGCTGGAGTGGGTTCATTGCAGCTCAAACTGGGCACGCTGAAGCTAATGTCCAAAGTGTGAGAGAATCTTATTCACCCTGTGTGAGGGTGGCTTAGCAATGAGCTATTGGCAGGGAGGCAGGCAGGAAGGAAGGCAGGGGGGAAGGGGGAAGGGGGGAAGGAAGGAAGGAAGGAAAACATTTCCTAAGCTGGCACTGAGTGATCTGAGGGAGCAGTAAGAGGAAGAAGAAATGCAGTCAGGGCAGTATACAGTTCATTCACAAATGAGGGGTTTTGGGAGAAGCAATCCATACATAACTAATTAATAATATCTAATGTAGGTTCTTGGCAGTGTGGCAAACGGAGATTTGCCTAAATTGTCAGCACCTCTGTTTGAAATCCATTTGAGGAGCTGTAAAGCACAGTACAAATGTAATGATGCTCCACGTTAAATTTTTTGTATGGGTTTTTGTACCACTTACAGGACCAAGGGTATGGAGGTAATGGCCAGGAGGTCCCTTCCAGCATGATCTTTGCCCTGTGATTAGTCAGTCATTTGTGATGGATCAGGCACACATGCCTGTGTGATATTTTCCTGCCTCAGAGACCATATGGTCCAATAGTCATTTTCATATCCTGTCACTCAGTGATTTCCTTAATATGTTCTATACAGATCTCTTTCTTAGTAACTTGCTAAAATCCCCTGCTAGGACAAGTGGGTCCTGAAGGACAATTCTCTGTCACAATTCTGCTTCATTAGCTGCATTGGGTTATGTCTTACATCATTAACTGTCTGCCATCCAATGTTTTACTTTGTTACCAGTTTAATTCTCCACTGGCTCATCACTGTACTTTTTACATGTATCTTCACAGCAAAACTTGTCTGTATGGGGTCAAGGGGTTCAATAATCTGCCAGACATAATTTAGCTATGAAAAGTGTGGGATGCCATTGTAGAGGGAGATAAGTGTGAGGATGGAATGGTAGGGAGCAGTGATTGCAGATCAGAAAGACCAGAGGAAGCAAGGAAAGAAGGAGACTTGATGTAAAACAGCATATGCAGAGGTATTCCTGTTTAAAGATATAACAGGAAGTCAGGCAGGCGAGGAGACAGGGAGACATCATACCAAATTGCTCACAGATTCCATAGAGTGATAAAGAGGGTGCTTAAAGAGGGCATTCTTTTCCTTACTTTCCCTTCTGCAATGAAAAAATAAATTATCCACTTTGTGATACTTTACTGCTCTACTTCTCTCAGGTTGCACTCAGGATTTTAGCTACTGCTGGGGGCCGTGTTCACAAGCCCACCAGCACTAACACAAGAACATCACCACCAGTGGCATCTTCAGTGGAGGACAAGACTAGTAAGAAACCTTGGTCTGCTGTCTTTTCTGGTTGGAAACAGTAAGGAAGCCTACACCTAGTAACAAGAAACTGCTTCATCTCTGCGCACCAGGGGCACAGTAGTGGAGGGCATCAGCATAGGAATGATAGTTTATGGCTAAGGAATACTGAGGTACTGAACATTGAATAACAAGGAAGATGATGAAGAAGCACCAAAATCCATCCTCACTGAAAAATCCCAGGAAATACAAAAAGCAATGTGGTTCATCCAAAATTAATTATCATCGGAGCTTACAGCAAGAGGTAAAGTAAGTAATGCACATGTAGGAGAAGGCTTACAGTAGGAGAGAAATTGTTGTGA